TAAATGGTAAAAGATGCCCAACTCAATACAAGCATAGGACCGCAGGGTATACTGTCAGAGCAATGGTAAAACACTGTACTGCTAATCAATTAGGAAGGTGGATGATTGCCTGGATATTAACTTCCATAATGTTGTATAGAATTTACTTGGCTATATTGGAGTAACATGTAATTCACATGAGGGATTAAAGGGAACATTCTTCCTCCCATAGGTTGTGAGGATTTCACTACAAATTAAATTACATTTAGTTTGAGGGACCAAATTCTAAAAATAAATCTGAAAATTTAAACATTTAATACACTGATGGATCTTAAATAGCCTAATGTCTTAGAGATTAAGGAACCAGATAGTTAAGGGTCCAGATAGTTAAAGATGACAAAGTACTTTCCCCTTAAAAAGCAGACAGAGATCTGGGGTTAGTCAAAGTTCATTATGCAAATGGGAACATGGTGTCTAAATTTTTTAATTATTTTTTATAAAAATTGGCAAATGCATTCTCTAACTTATAGCAATTATATACATATTTTCTCCCTTCGCCATATTTTCATTTCTACCAACTTCTAAATATATTTTGAGATCTCAACATCTAATTCTAAGTTAACTAACAGTTACTGCAGAAACCAACCCTCTACCTCACAATGTGAATTTTACACACATTTGTGTCTAAGTTAAAATAATTCTTTCCTCACAAAGTTAAGTTTCTTAAATTATTAAAAATATAATACACTTAAGTTTTTTAAGGTCTTAGCATTTCCTTAAAAAACTACAGAAGACTATGTATGGTAATTTTCTTCCAAACTCATAGATGAGCACAAAATGTTTGCAGATAGACATTTTTTTTTTTCCTGGAGCACATCCTCAGAGTAGTCTACAAGGCCCTGTATCATCTGGTCTTTGCTTATATCACCACCCTTATACCTTATACCCCCTCAGGACTGCCCTTATTTCAACCACTAGTGTTCATCAATCTAAAGGCTCAGGTCATTTGCACTTGCTATGTCTGTAATCTACATCCATGTTATTAGTAGACTGGTAAACCCCGAGCTCCTGGGAACCACCATCCTGCTCTCTGCTTTTACAGAGCAACTGGTTTTGATTCCACACTTCATTGAGGTCATAGAGCACCACCTTCTACATTTGCTGTTTTCAAATACAATAATGTCTCCTAAAGCTCATTAGGGTTTCAAATAACAAGATTTCCTGCATCTTGAAGGCAGTATATTGTTCTGGTGTCAAATGGTTGACGTGTTTTTGTATGTGGACATAATCTTAAAACACCAGTTAAGAAAATTAAGGAGATTTTTTTCAGAAGTGATTTATGAAACATTATTTTTATTTGTTTTAGTACCAGGAATTGAACCCATGGGGGGTTAACACTGAGCCATATCCCAGCCCTTTTTGTTTGTTTGTTTGTTTGTTTTCAAATTTTGAGACAAGGGTCTTGCAAAGTTGTTTAGGGTCTTGCTAAATTGCTGAGACTGGATTTGAACTTGCAATTCTCCTGCTTCAACCTCCCAAGCTCTGGAAAGCAGTATAGAAATCTGCCAGAAAACTTGCAATGAAACAAGCATTTGAACTAGTTATCCCACTCTTTGGCATATACCCAAAGTACTTAAAATTGGCATACCATAGGGATGCACCCACATCAATATTTTTTGCACCTTAATTCACAATAACTAAGTTCTGGAACCAACCTAGATGGCATTCAACAGATGAATGGAAAAAATACACACACATACACATACATACACACAACCATACACAGTAACAGGAAACATGGCAGTGACAGTAATATTACAAATCACCAAGTCTCCGCATACAATGCTCTTAAAAACATGTCTTCTATAGTCTTGATGAATGTGAATAATTTGACAAACCAATGTGCAGAATTTTACATTAGTCACTATTATATGCCAACTTAGTTCTAGCCAATTATTTCAGATGGCTAAACTTCTTTTCAATCCTGATTCCTTCATCCACACTATTAGCTTTTGCCTAATAGCTTTTTTCATCCAATTCAGTGATAAAAATGATTCATAGGAAAAGAGGAAAAAGAGCCACATCATGTCATAGAAATCCTCTATCCAAGTTTGTATCAATCCTAATAATCTACCCTAATTTGACTACCTACATCATGACTATACCATGAAACACTTAATCTAAAACCTTGCTCAAATAGACTTATTCCACCCATACTGGAAAAAATATACACAATATTTAATGTGATACTTCCTTTAATGTGGACTCCAGAGAACTGATTCTTTTCCTGGTTAAATTCTCACAAACCACCTAGCTAATGAAAAGAAAATTGTCACAAGGACTGATATAAAATCTACTAATCTTTATAGTTGTGAAATTCTTGAGTATCTACATAATGTTTAGCCATTTGGCACCTCTGGTACTGACCATAATTGCCAGAAGATCACCAAGTCATGCATATCTGCTAGTCATTTAATAGTAGGACATTTAACTAGTTGAAGGCATCAGAATGTGGTCTCATCATTGCTTCACCTTCCTTGATTTTAATTCCCTCAGTATCACTGTTGGTCTCCTTTATTGAATTTTTATATTGTTTTCTTATGATGGATCAGTTGAAACCAATCCAGGAGTTCCATAACTCTGCTTAACACGTAACATTATACCATCAGTCTCAAACAATTATTTGCTTCATTTTCATAATCGGAACACAGTAAGTTGTGGTGCTTAGTATCTCTCAATTCATTTTAGGATTCAGTCTCCAATATGTCATTCCCTGAGTTTCATATATTATTTTTGTATTTTTGTTTTAATTTGTGAGACTCATGTGCTTATACTGTCAGTATATCACTTTTAAAGAACTTCCACACCCTTCATTCATTCAATAAATGACTGCCCCCTATATGCACCTGAACAAACTAAAACAAAGGACAAAATGATGCCTATGATCTGGTTCCTGACTTTAAGTAATCCAGAGGGAAATACAGACCAATAGGCAGAAATATACACTTCTAAATTACCAAGATAAAAATAAGTGCTGTTGAGCAAAGTACAGAGAAACTAGCTCAAGCATAAAACAGCTACTGAAGACTTCATCAAGAAACAACATTCAAAATGAGTTGTGAAAAAGCAGTCATTAGAAAACTGGAAGTATTTTAGGGACAGCATGTGCAAAAGCCATGGCAATATGAAAAAGTACATTGTTTTCACACAACGGTGATTAACTTCATGTGTCTGGGATTGAAGTTCCACAGATTATAAGCTGCAAGAAACAGCCTGAAAACATGCAGCCAGTTATAAAAAGCTTTTATAATCTAGGTGCCTAATATATAGGATATAGGATAAATAAAAGCAAATATTCTCTACAGAATACTAAGCAGCAATTAGGAGTAGCAATCAAGATGGAATAGTGTTCAAGGCAAAATAAACAATGCCTACAGCATAATACCAGCAATACAAATTTAAAATATGTACACACCCATTGTGTGCACACAAAATAAATCTACATGTTTTACAAGAACACAAACAAAAAGATTCAGGTTAAAACATTAGAGTACTTACTTATGGAGTGGGAAAAATAGGGGATGGGGTGGGAAACGAGAACAAGGGATTTTTTTCAGCAATTATGCACCTGTTTGATGTCCAAGAAAGTCTATATATTTTCCTATAAGTAGCAGAGGTTTCAAGATCTGAGAATGGCAAAATCTAATGTGGTTTTTAAAAAGAAGAAGGCTACAGCCCTTTAGTTATGTTTTCTTCTGGAGTGAAGAGAATGGGTTTCTTGCCCCTTTTCTACATATGCTGAGTAGATCCCTATAATTCTGTAGGAAAAGGTGAGGTTTCAAGCAAAAGTACCAATAAGTAAGATGAATGTAACATTTCAGAAATTGATGGAAGCAAATATGAGGTCTGAAGGGGAGTAAATAGTTTCAAATAAAAACAGCATCTTAAAGCCCAGATCTGATCATCTGCCAAGAATATTACAGAAAATAATCCTACTCTATGGTAGATGCTGGACTAAAATACAGAGGGTTTCACCAAACTGAAGGTCTTTTCCATTTTCTTATAATTGTGCCAAAGGGAACACAATGAGAAATTCAAACAAAGGTCCACTAAGTATGTCTCAGTAGCTCAGAGCATGGATCTCTGTATAAATTTACACCAGTCCTATCACTTGAGAGATGAATCTTGCATCACACCAAGAACTACTGCATCTGGTACAAGCAGACTTTCTATAGAACTGCAACTGAACACTACAGGCAATGAGCCAACATTTTTAAATTTCATCAAGTTCTAGTGCCAGGTGACAACTGTTTGCAGTGACATGATTTATGCAACACATTTCATCTAGTTATCTTAGAATCAAAGGAATTTTACCAGAGTTCTCATTCAGATAAACAGGAATGATTTCTACCTCAATTGCATCTGTGAAAAGTAGAATACACACTTGTTAAGTTTAAGGACAAGATACTATTAATTAAATTCTCCTAATAAAAGTAGTGCTTACTGGACACTTCTTCAGTTGTGAAGACATTATTTTTCATTGGGAGGGACACTGCTAACTAAAATGCAACTGGAGTCAAAATTAATTTCAAAAGTAGTAAAGGATAAGTTGCAAATAATATACAACATGGTTAACAATACTTATTTATGTATAATACTTGCATTTCCACAGATACACTCATGAGGTCAGATGTTTTGGGTATTTTTCCCTTTTTGGTCAGCACATCAGTGAGTTAATGAGGACTTTTTCCTTCCCAGACTTCTTGGGAGTCTTCACCTTAGCCCCGAGTTACACACTCATTCTGCTATGTTTGTACTCATTCTATGCAGAGTAACTTATATTTTGAGAAGGCAGAATCTGAAAAAATCTTATAGTAGTTACCCTCAAATAATTTCACGTGTATTATTATCTATAAAAGGTAATCCAATTATTATGAATGCTGAGATTATGGGTAATAGTTCCTTTCTTCTTAATGATCTATGTGCTATTTTATTGTCAAGAAAAAAGATATTAAGTAACATTATAGTGACATGATATAGAAAAAAATTTATTATATAATGAGTTTTCCATGAAAAAAGATGGTGACACATATCAAAGGATTCTCATCTGGGATCTTCCTCTTGCCCTCTACCATTATCCTGGCTAACAACCCAACCTAAATATGAACACACAGACTTACCAGCTTTGCCACAGTGTCTGTGACAAACTAGACAAAGGAAGGCATAGGCTGAAAAAACCTAAGTTACTTGTCAAACACTATGAAGATACTAAATCTATTTTAGGCTTTAAGTATTATATTAAACCAAAATACCAGAGTTTCTTACAAAAAGATTCAAATTATATCAGCATCAAGTATGCTAAGAACTACACAGCTTAACATAAAACACATACATTGCTGCACCTCCATATATGCATGAATGAAACTAAATTTAATGTAATATTAACAACATCACATAACAGATGTAACTTTATTAGAAAAAAAAATTTGTTCAATAAAGCAATGATCACCCTGACACTCTCCCCATTTCCCTATACATTATGTACTCATCAAATAAATCAGATAAACCAACATTTTTAAAAATCCAAAAATATAACTTTCAATGTTCAATCTTACTTTTCTAAACATTAAACCTGAAATTGACAAACTAAAGTTGTTATAAAGCCTCATTGTATCACTTGGTCACTTCATTCTAGAACACCTCATCTAAAGCAGGATTTTCACAGACTCTCAAGAGTTTTTCTTTAACCTCCTAAAGAAGAGCCAAATACATCAAGAGATATATCCTGTTCATGTATGTTCCCGAATATGCTTCCATGACCATATCCGTAAGCTGGGGCAAACATTTACTTCAAGAATACCATGTATAGCATAAGCTCACCTAGTTACAAAACAAACACCCCAAACATAACACTCTAAAATCAACAGTCTGGTCTGGCTCTGTGGCGCAATGGATAGCGCATTGGACTTCTAAAATCAACAGTCTGAAACAAAACTTATACTCTAACAACAAGCATATCTATAATATTGAGATTAGTAAAAAGATGTATTATCTGAGCATTTGCTGTTTCCCAATCCTGTTTATATTAACAATCCATTAATCATTAATCTTCTTTCCAAAGTAAAAATAAGCAAAATCATTCAATTTTGGCTAAAACTTATATGGCTCTACACAAAAACTATAAAGGCTTTTTAGTAAAATAATAATTGAAGTACGTACCTACGTACCTAAAAAAGTCATAGAAACTTGTAGAAACTAGATAATTATTTAAAAACTAGAATAACAATATATCTTTGCAGTTTAAAATGGAGTTTTACCATATACACTCTATAACCTTCTCAGTTTTTAAAACTCATGTCTAATAAATAGACTTAGTGGGTCTGACAGGAAAGTTTGAAGGAAATAAAGAAGATATTTCTAGAAAACAAACCAAGATAGTTTTTAAATAATTGCAAAAACACTGATCCCTCTATAGTAAATAAAAATTACGGTATTTTATTATCTCTAGCTATAAACGGTTATAAAGAACCCCTTGAGTCAGTGTTACTAACAAAAACAGCTACTACATACATTTCCAGACACAAATCAATTTAATCAAAGTTTGTATCAAGACCTTAAAAAGACTACCTTAAAAAAAATAATGTCTAAGAAACTTACTTTTTTGCCATATGTTTTAAATCATTATTAAAAAACAAAACAAACAAACAAACTTAAAAGGCATTTTTACCATTCCTTGGCATGGAAATGAAGAGGAACATCAGGTTTGAATTTCCTGTATGGCAGGTTTTGTGTCATCATATCAACTGATTCAAGAAGCTCCATAACACTGAAATACTAAAGAATGGACAAATTAAAATTCTCAAATGTTTGAAGTTTTTTGCTCAACTGAAAAGTGAAATTACCAACTTTTTAAGGAAATGCTACCATATAACATTATGAATTTTAGAAAAACATTGAAAATCTTAGTTCTGCTTTGATTAAACAATAACTCAAAACTTAAAATTTCATCAAAGAAAATCACCTGTGGTTTATTAAATTCAATTGCTATGCTATGTAACTCAACTTCCAAGTTTATTTTGGGGTCAGAAAAGTCAAAATCTGATCGGCGATTCATCTGAAGTTTGGCTTTAGCAGATATGGGGCGAAATACTGAAAAATAATAGAAATTGAAAAAAATTAAATTCAATCATCCTTTAAAAGTCTCAAGGCACCAAAGGGATCAAGTTGAAAACACTGATTTTCATTTCTTTTATACCCTTTCTACAGTTCTTAAATGTCCACACTGCCATAACTTGGTCCAAAGAACTGTTTCTTAATGAGTGAAAATGGGTTTTTTTCTTTCTTATAATTCATGTTACCTTCCATAAGTAGAATAAGGCTAACAAAACGCACCCTCAGAACACCAATAAATGCTTAAAAGCAGCAACACTCAACTATAAGCAAAAACAGTCCAATAAAATGGTTTCACTAAAAGTACACCGTTAAAATGATTATTAGAAATATTATGAAAACAATTATATTTAAAATTGACTTTCATTTTATGATTTTGAATTCTAAATTTCTCTGTATCTTCCTATTCCTCCTTTCAATTTGTGAAAAAAGGGCAGAGAAAATGACAGTTTTTTCCCAGATTACCTGCTTCGCTCATTCCATCATACCAAAAAGAATAAGAACTATGCAGAGGGAGACCAATAATAGCAGAATCCAGACAGACATCAACCATCAAATTATAAACTAATTTGTATACAATGATAATGCATTCCTCTTAATCATCCCTAAAGACTATCACTTACTACAACTGATTGATCTGCAAACTTTTCACTTTGCTACATGTCCTTAGTTTCATCCATACTCTGCCATGTTATTTTTGTGTTACTGTTTTTAAAGTCTGTTTTCTCTACTTTTTAAAATGTCTTAACTGATAGGTAAAAGCATAAAAATTATACCTATTAATGGGTTGTCATCTACTGTTTGAATACATGCATACATCGTGAAATGTTTAAATATGGTTAAACATATCTATCTATGTCCTCAAAGATTCATCATTTATAGTGAAAATTTCATGATAAAAACTTCCTTTCCAGCTGGGCATGGTGGCACATGCCTATAATCCCAGTGGCTTGGGAAGCTGAGGCAGGAGGATCCCAAGTTCAAAGCCAGCCTCAGCAACTCAACGAGGCTCTAAACAACACAGCAAGACCCCAGTACTAAACAAACAAACAAACAAACAACTCCCCTTCCTAGCATTATGCCAGTTATGAATTTATTGCCTGTGAATTCCAAATTTACCCTTTATGCCTGCTCTGAAAAATGGTTTAAGGTCCTTCAAATATTTTTCCTTTACCAGCCATTATAATAATAACCTTTAAACCACTAGCAACACCACAGAGGAAGGATTTATCCTGCCTGTTTCCAGTGTGGTCATTTAAAAAACTTCTACAAAGGAATGGTTCTCCATTCCTTTAGAACAGACTTTAACCACTGACTGGTTCCTATAGCGTGAAGGTATTTAGAACCAGCCTTTTGAAGGTAGAGCTTAGAGCAGCAACTTCCCCTACTACCCTACTTAGGAAGACCTGTACTAAAGTACTGACAGTAAGAAACCTCTCCATGAGGCTAACCAGGGAACAGATTTGCGGGCACAGCAGAATAGGGACTTTCTGCCATTCAGTGAGCTACAACCATTATCTCTCCAACAAGGTCTAGACCTCAGTCCTCAGGAAGGGGTCCTTCTTTAGGCACTTCATCTTAGCCCTAGGGTAGAAGCTATTTCTTTTATCATCTACTCCTAATTTTTTTAGATTTCTCTTCTTTTTTTTTTTTTAACTAGTCAACACCTTGTTACTCCAAACCTGTCTAACAGTTAATATTTATTTACATTAAACTTTACATGTTCAAATTATATTCAATTCTCTCTCTTCATTGGATCCTTACTGATACATTATAAAATTACCACAGGGCAAAGGAGAAATAAGTCAAACCTTAAGTAACAGATTTGAGAATCATAAACATATATGATAGATAGCTCTTCTATTCTGAGCATTTCCTATGAGGAACAAGTTTAAAAATGAAACCATATTCAAAAAAATGAAAATAATATTTTAAGAGTGGGAAGAATAAGAAGAGCCATTTGAGGAAACTGACAAAGGTTATCAATAAGGTAGAATAATACAAAAAAGAAAAATACTTTCAGGGAGAATATTTTGTGGTTAATGACAGCAGGCAGCCAAATTCAAGAGTGCCCTCAGGATTGAAGAAATGACACTCCTTTTCTCTGTGTATTTTAGTAACTTGTTTCACATTATAAAAGCAATATGTATTCATTTAGAAAATTTGAAAAACAAAAAACTATAAAGAAGAAAAATTTTAAGTGCATGTTTTTAAAATAGTAAGATCACAGTGCAACTAAAGCTATGCAGCTAGTTTTATTAAGCTGTATTTGCTATGTCAAAATATCTTTATAAACATTATCTTAATATTAAATATAACTGAATATAAGCCTTATTGAATATAATCCTTAGAGATTTATCACAATTTATTACCGTACTTGTTTTTAGACATTTTCTCCTGTAGTTCTGAATGATAGCTAAAGCTCCTAAGCATATAAAAAAGATAATTTTTTTGTTTTTCAAATGTTTTTTTATTTGTTCTTTGTAGTTATACATGACAATAGAATGTATTTTGACATTTCATTCATACATGGAGTATAACTTCCCATTCTTGTGGTTGTACATGATGTAGAACTATACTGGTTGTGTATTCATTCATACCTGAACATAGGAAAGCTATGTCTCATTCATTCTACTGTCATTCCCATTCTCATCCCTCCTCCTTTCTTCTCACATATATTAAATATATTATAGAGATCTCAACTATACAAGAGAAAATTTAATATAAAAGAACAGTGATATCAAAAATGTTAATGTACATTTTATACTGATTTTTATTTTATTTTATAGAAGACACTTACCAAAATCATAACCTTTTGGAACAATATATTCATTAACAACGCCATTCTTCAAGTTGTCCTATTAAAAGACAAATTACTTTTATTTATATTCACATCAATATACCTTTATCCTATAAAATTCTATTATCTGCAAAAAATGTTTAAAACCACTTAGCTATGAGAAAATATTAAAGTAATTAAACAATATAGCACTAAACTACTACAAAACAATGCTTTAGGAGATATTAAGATATGCATATATGTGTGTGTACGTGCATTCATGCTTGTGTAATTCACCTATTAGTATAAATAGCTAATGGATTTTACCTAGGAAAAAAAATACCAACTCTGGTAGTGATAGAATACTTATGATGAATTATACTTTATACAAAATATGATACTAACAAACATATATGCACACATCCAAATAATTTACTCACCAATGATTTGTCATAATCATTAAGATAAAACATCTGAGACTGTACATTCCAGTAGGCAAAAAGATTGTCCAATCGAATTAACTGAAAATAAATCAAATTTATTATGTTTTATTTTCTTTGAAGTATTAACATAAGCCATTCAGAAGTCTCAAATAATTGAGTGATATGACAGAGTTAAGCAAACAGCAACAGTTCACATTAACTCTTATCTATATGTATATTTTCATTTATTTTTCTAAAAGTCTCTTTCAAGTCAATGAGTTAGCATTTATTTATTTTACCTTACGAACTAGTTTCTCAGTTTCATCTTGTAAATATGGAACCCAGTACTGATCAGTGGTCTGAAAAGGGAAAAAAGAAGAGCAGTAAAATGATCATTACATTTGAAATGGCAGAGTGCTGTCATTATAACCTAAGACCAATTTCTCATGAAAATGCCATTAAATATATATAATTTAGGAAAAAAAAACCTTTAGAAGATGGAAAGATATCCTGTGTTCTTAATTGGCAGAATAAATATTGTCAAAATGGCCATACTACCAAAAGCCGTATACAGATTCAATGCAATCCCTCTCAAATACCAATAACATTCTTCACAGAATTAGAAAACAAAAATTCTTAAATTCATTTGGAAGAATAAGACACACAGGATAACCAAAGCCATACAAAGTAGGAAAGCAAAGAAGGAGGCCTCATAATAGCTGATCTGAAATTATGCTACAGAGCTATCTTAACAAAAGCAGCATGGACTGGCAGCAAGATAGACAAGAAGATGAAAGGAACAGAAAACACAGAGACAAAGCCACATTTCTACAGCCATGTGATATTTGACAAAAAGTGCAAAAAATATATTTTGGAAAAAGCCTTTTTAACAAGTGGTGCTAGGAAAACAGGATAGCTATGTGTAGAAAAAAATAGAAACTAGACCTATATCACCCATCCTGAACAAAAGTCAAACTGAAATGGATTAAAGGCTTAGGAATTAGAACAAAAATTTATAACTGCTAGAAGACAATACAGGGCCAACATTCCATCATATAAGTGCTGACTTCCTTAACAAGACCCCCATAGTGCAAGAAACACACACACACACATTAAAAAAAAAAAAAAAAAAAAAACACAATGGAGTTTTACTCAGCCATTAAAAAGAATGAAATTATGGCCTGTGCCAGTAGATGGAAATGGAAGTGAAACTAGCCAAACTCAGAAACTTAAAGGTCAAAATATTTTCTCTCATATGCAGAAACTAGAGTAAACTAAAGGAAAAGGGAAAGGAAAGATAAAATTACATAAAGAACCAATCAAATAAAATAATAGGCTAGGGAGCAAAAGGAAGTCTAGTAGAGGAAGAAGCATGGGAGAGGGGAGGAAGGACAGGTAGGAAATGTGGGTGGAGGGACAAAGGGGGTGGATTGTGAACCAAAATCAAACTCCTTGAACATATCTGTTTGTCAGAATGAACTCAACTACTATGTAGAACCACAAAGCTCTAATAATCTTTTTTAAAATATACCATTCCAACTGGTTGTGGTGGCACAACCTGTAATCCCAGAGGCTCAGGAGGCTGAGACAGGAAGATTGCTGAGTTCAAAGCCAACCTCAGCAAAAGCGAGGCGCTAAGCAACTCAGTGAGACCCTGTCTCTAAGTAAAATACAAAATAGGGCTGGGGATGTGGCTCAGAGCCTTTGAGTTCAACCCCTGGAACCCCACCCCCCAAAATCATTCAATCAAAGACTACTAAGGACCACAGGAAAGTCTCTGCTTTCATGGAGGTCAAAAACAAAACAAGTAAATACAAACAGGTAAGTGTCACCACAGAGGTTAAATAGTTAACTGTGACAACAAAGAGCTTGCCAAATGGCAGTGGCAACAAAGAGCTTGCCAAATAAAATGATGATCAACTTAATAAAATGAACTATAGAAATGACACCTGAAAAAAGGCTTATGACTAACCTAATTTATGATATGAGTAGAAATTATTGATCCTCAGTAGGAATTATTGTTCACAAAAAGAAGGCCCAAAGATATGTAAAGATGACACGTTCAGAGAACTGAAACAACGCAGTATGGCCAGAGAATATAACACAAACAAAGAAAAGAGGTAAAATCTGTTATGTTACGTGGAGTCAGATTACAAGATTTATAAACTATACAAAGACAAAACTACACATTTTTCCTTAAAGCAATCAAGGTATTCTGTCCTTATTTTCAACATAACAGCAGTATTTGACAACTTACCCTACCCACTTTAGAGTGACTTTTCACTTTTTGTTTTTGCTTATGGTAGAGCCATGAAAAATGAAATCATACATAAAACCCAACAGATACAAGATATGCAACTATATAATAAAAAACTATATAGAAGTTAAATTGCATTACATGTGAGGGAAAAAAAGAGTTTTTTAAATATTGTGAAGTGGAAAAGTTAACGTACTGAAGAAACATAAAATATTTATGTAAACTTTTCAAATAAACCTACATTTTTAATGAACATATTGTATAAAAGTTTTAATACTTAGAATGTTTATCTCTAGGGGAGATGAGAAGGGTGAATTGAAAACAAAAGGAGTTTAAACTTTATCTATAACTGTGTAGTCCTATAAAATTATTTAATATTTAGAGTAAGTAACAAATTCAACAACTATTCATTCTGAATGCAAGCAAGTTTTTCAAAATTCTCTGTGTTCCTTTATTTTCAAAATTGCTCTATTTTACAATTAAACAGGAGAAAATATGCGACAATACTAATAATAGTGGTGAGGAAATGAATTCTTAGAGTTTTTCAAGACTAATCAAAGATTCCGAAACAAATATTTATTATTTTTATTTAGTACTTATTTATTAGAACTTTGGAAATATTTTTGCAGTGCTGAGGAGAAAATCAATTTTTTAAGCAAACAAAAGTATCTAACATTGTAGTTACCAATAATAATAGGCCCTCACATTTTAAACTAAATTTTATTTCCAGTTTCATAAATGTGAATTTACTTTCCCCTCAATTCCAATTCTATGTATGACTTTTCTACAACTAAATGCAAAACTATTTCTAATACAGCATATACAAATCATAATTGTAGTCTGAATAACGGTATTCCACAATTAAATATCGTCATTACTTTTTTAAATGAAGTACCTGCATGCTGAGATTTTGTAAAGAAATACCAAATGACAGTGGTTTCTCACGATTTGTGATCTAAAGAGGGAAAAAAGAAAATCTTAGTCAAATTTGTTAACAGTTGAACAAAATTCACTTTATGGAAAAAGTTAACTTTCTAGGAAGTATCCTATTTTGAATATTCAAAAACATTGTATTTCTTCCTTTGAAAATATCTTTGGTTCCTACATTTTTCCTAAAACAAATTAAAATACTAAATATTAACATCTGTGTTATACTATAATGATACACCTACACAATGTTTTCTAGTTTATAAAAAAAAGTTTATTAAAAAACATTGACACAGGGCTGGGGTTGTGGCTCAGTGGTAGACAGCTTGCTTAGCATGTGTGAGACACTGGGTTCTATTCTCAGGACCACATAAAAATAAATAAATTAAATAAAGGTATTGTGTCCGTCTACAACTAAAATAAATTTTTAAAAAAAGACTGACACAGTAATACTATAAAGCAAATAATTCAGTGTTTTAAGAGAACAACAAATTAAGCTCAAACAATTAGTTAAGCCTAGCACTATTGATCTCTAGAGCAGAGCTCTTTCCAGGAGATAAAAGTAGCATATTTTTAAAAGTACTTAATTTTGAAATTGGTAATTTCCAAGGCATTTTCATTCATGATCTGGAGTTTGAACAGTTTGGGAAAATGTAACTAAACACTCACTATTAACAACTGAAAAATTACAACACACATTCATGTGCTTAGTACGCATGAGTCCCCACAATCAATCCTCAGTTTCCAATAAAAGAATAGATCATGTTATCTTCAGTTTTATATCTTTCAACCTCTCAGCATTATTTAATAGTCTGGCTAGTATAAAGTAAGTATCAACAAACAGTACAATGACTTACATATAAATGTATCTTTTAAAATCATCTATATTTTTAAAATACTTACATCATCTTCATAACGAATATGGATGTTGGAAATTTTCACTTGAAGATTTTTTATGATCTGAGTAACTAATTTTTCTGTAAAAGTATCCTGTTTCTCTTCCCGCTGTTGTTCTACAATTGCAAATATTCCTTTTATTTAATTTGAATGAAACATACATCCTGTAACTATCCATACATTGAGGGAGCATTTTTATAACATCTTGCTTAAGAAAAATAGAGATTTAAAAATTCAACACTAAAAGCATGCTTTCCAAAAATCTTTCAAACCAAAAACTTTCAAAGACAATCAAATACACAAAATTTTTCAAAACATAGTTTCTTGTTCAATAAAACTAAAGTCGAAGAGGTAAAATTTACTGGCATCAAATTTTATAATTTATCTGTTAACTATGTCTAAATCTATAAAGAGGAAAACAATGAAGACTATTAGGTAAGAATTATAATAGGCATAAATTAGAAAAGCCAGCAACTGCAGCAAAGCAAAAATTATATTTTTTCGGTGCTTAGATGAATAAAATAGTTGAATACAATATGTTCCTTCTTTTGATGATATAAATTGAAAATTACATGATCCTCTCTTCTCCTTTCAAACAAAGATGAAAAGTTCGTTCTAAGAAAATACTGTAGCAAGCATAGTGGTGCACATGTATAAGGCTGAGACAGGAGGATTGCCTGTATACTCAGAGGCTTGGGAGGGTGAGGCAGGAGGATCCGGAGTTCAAAGCCAACCTCAGCAACCTAGCGAGACACTAAGTAACTCAGTAAGACCTTGTCTCTAATGAAAATACAAAATAGGGCTGGGAATGTGGCTCAGTGGTTGAGTGCCCCTGAGTCCAATCCCTGGTATCATCACCCCTGCCAGAAAAAAAGAAAAAGAAAATATTAAGTATCTTCAGTTTCAATACTTTCCAGGGGAACAGAAAGAATAAACAATTGAGGACTATAATTCTTTCTGACATATGCCTTTGATAACTGCTAGTTACCATCCCTATTCTTTTTTTAAAAGTGCTGATGAAAGCTATCTCCTTTTGTATTTCTAGTCTATTTCTCCTTTAGTATTATCAGTCTTCTTTATAGACATATATATATATATACACATCTCCTCTCTTTTACTCTAATTACCTACATCTCCTAATTCAGTTGGCCCAGGAGGACTTCACAAAAAGTGAATGAAGATATCAACTATACACCTCAAAACTACAAGAGTTAAGTAAGAATATCTGAATATAAAAGGTCTATATAATTAAGTAAATCAGTCCATAGAATATAAGCTCTTTGAAACCAGAAGACCGTATTTCAACCTTGAATCCTGTTTCATAATAAAATCCTTTGCCCTTATAAACTTATTCAATTAAATGATAAGTATTTCTTTCCCTACCCACTATTGTCCTCCTGACTTCCTTATGCAGCTCAAATTTCATGTAACAACAGTATCCTCCTATCCATCATTTCACTTTCCATGGTTTCAGCTACCTGTAGTCAACCAATCCAAAAATATTAACATCTATCTTAACTTTCTCAAGAGACTACATTCACATAACTTTTATTTATTACAGTATATCATTATAATTGTTCTGTTTTTCATTGCTGTTAATCTCTTACTATGCCCAATTTAAACTTATAATTTATCACAGAAATTTATGCATAGGAAAAAAAATAGTGTATATATTTATATATAGTGAGATTTCCTGCTTACACCAGGGGGCCCCACAGACACGGGTGGACTACTATGTATTATTTCACCCACTCCTTAAACTGATTTGCTCTTTTTTCTAATTTTCCCTTGTCAATAAAGACCCAACCCTGAATAAGACCAATTTTATATAAACTTCATATAAAAATATGCTCATGCTTGTGTCTTGCCAGGTGAGTGCTACAAAATACAGATCACAACAGGACAGACTAGAATTATGGTACAGTACTCATCACTATCTTCAAACAACCAGTAACCCTATTACATTTCTCTAGTCAACATGTTCATACTCTTAGAACAACTATTTCAAAATTCATTTTGACTCTCTTCAAAGTTCCAACTACTCTATTTACACAACTCTGTTTTCTTTTACTAGATGTTCTTGCCTCCAACTTTGGAAGAAGGCAGTTTCACAGTTAGATAACTCCTTCTCTGTCATCATCATTCAGTCAAAACAACTGTTTTTAAGGTGAACAATAACCTACATGCCAGAAACAAAACAATTTCTTAATCATCTTACCCATATATTTCATCAAGATCTATTGTTTGCATCTTAAAACAGCCCCTTTCCCACAGAACTATAAATTCCAAATTTCCTCCTATTATTTATCCACTCCTTTTTGTTCTCTTTTTGTATGTTTTCCTCTGCTATACAATCCTACATGTTAGATTTCTTTAAGGCTCAATCCTAGGATTATTTCACTTCTTACTCTATAGTGCTGCTTCAGGGAACCTCATCTATATCTTCTTGCCTGAATTATAAATCCAATGCTGGTAACTCTCAAATAAATATTGAATAAAGTAGGAAGTGAAATACAAAGTGCAGAGAACTCAACACATTCAGTAAACTACAAAGAGTTCAATATGGCTAGAGTAAAGAATGGAGGAGATGAGATTTGGGGCCAGTTATAAGGCTAGAGACGTAGATGAGATTCATTATCATAAGAGCTTTTATATATCTTGCTGAAGAGTTTAAACCTTATCCTGATAAGAACAAGGTGTCAATAATGAATTTTAAGCATGACTACACATTTATATTTTAGATCTAGTATAATAGGAAGGACTTCTGATTAAACATGATGGATTGCATAAATTTCTCTATTGCTCAATAAAACCTCATTAAAGCAAAAACAAGGGGGAAAATGAATAAATCCCCAGGGTCAAAGGAAAAAAAGAGAGGAAAAAGAGCAGATGACAAAGCAATGAAAAATCAGAAACTAGAAAGTAGATGGCCTTAAGGAAGAAGAAATTCAATTCTAAATGACCATGAATGGAAATACCATTGAAACACAAGATTAATTTGAAAACAGAATCCTGGAAACATTCAGGCTTAAACCCCCACAAAAGAAAAATGGCCATCAGGGAGCACGGTGAAGGGAAAGGGAGATAATACAAGAATTGATTTAAAGTCTGCATACAAAGTAGTTAAACTTCTAGGTCCTCTCATAATAGCCAAGCAATTATCCCTTTTGCAAACAAATGAGAATGGAATGGTTTATTCTGGAGAAAATTTACCTAACAGGCTCCAGATTCATTGGTGGGGGGGGGGGGCAGCAGAATAAGGCTCACACTAAAACAGAGTAAAATTCTACATAATGTACAATTATATGCAAATTCACTTAATAATATTATCAAACACATAACAAAGCTGAGCTAGAAAATATATGTAATTAGAGGAGGATCCAAGATGGTGGTCCAAAGGGAGGAAGCATTCTGTGTCGCTCCATGACCTAAGACTCAAGTAGTAAGAATACTGCTTCTTTGAGCGCATGAGTGTACATGCACGAGAGAGAGAGAGAGAGAGAGAGAGAGAGAGAGAGAGAGAGAGAGAGAAAACACCCCCCCACACAGCTGCTCCCACGCAGGGCTTCAGGCCTCAGCATTAGAGCAGGACTCCCCACTACTCACCAACATAGGTCTCCCAGGTGCCCAAGCAGGACCACCAGCATCAGAACCCACAAAGGATTTCTGGCAACCCACCCACACAGAAATCCCAGACAATGCTCCCACGCAGGACACCTGGCCACTGCCCACGCGCAGGAACTCCAGCCACCACTCCCATGCAGACTCCATCTACTAACATGGGGCTCCCACATCACCTCCATCTTGGGACTCTGCAGCCATTGTCATAGTCCCCTGTGTGCAGTAGACTACCTGCACCTGGGGACATTGCACAGGTTCTGAAGACAGCCAACAGCCACAACACTGCACACCACAGAGCTAATCTCTAAACACATCGCCCAACACCATGGCCCGGCTCTCCCAACCCGACCCAACACCCCATGGCTGAAAACAGTTGCCTCCATCTTGGGTCACCTTCATCACCACCTTTGGTTGGGGCAACTCCAAGTATGGAACACTGGCTGAGCAGGTATCATAGTTCCCAATTACCCCGTCTCCCCGGCAGCCGCTAGCCTAGCAGTGACTGCACAATACAAAACAACTCTCCAAGACAGGTGTGCGGCTCCCAAAGCACAACCCATAAGACCTCTGGAGATAAAGGTCCCTGATTAGGAAGTAGAAAGGGAAAGGGTGAGTGAGATACAATTTGGAGTCTAATTTAAGATACCAGGAACTGTGAGATCTATAGGTGAGATAAGGAGATAAGACCAGGCACTCACATCACATGAGCAGGCCCCAAAGGAGATCCTTGGGGTGCAGTCTCCCATTGGGGACTGGCAGGTGCCATACCCCACTTCCAGGTGACCTGCATCCAAGTCCAACCCTCCCACTTTGGTAACCTTCACCATCCTGAGGGTAGAGATATCAGCTAACAACAGTCAACCCCACCTACTGGGAGAGAAGGAAAGCAGGAAAGATACTAATCTCCAACCAAAACAATTCTTATTTCTTTCTTCAAGATTATACTTACCTCTCTCGCGCGCGCTCGCTCGCTCTCTCTCTCTCTCTCTCTCTCTCTCTCTCTCTCGCCCTCACATCCCTAACATATCTGAAACCAAGTACTTTGTATGAATTAGGATACTGAGGACTGGGATGTCTAAATAGTATCTTACAGTTGTGTTGTATATTCTTTTTTCTCCTATTTTTACATTTTTTTAATTTTTCTAATATTTATGTGTTTTTTGTTTATGTGTTCTACTGTCTTTCCACTTGTCTTCCCAAAATTACTTTCTTCTCCTGTTACTAAACTTTCTTCTTTAGATTCTTCTTTCATATTTCCTAAGATATAATAACTCTACATCCTCACCTCCTATCTACTCAACATCTTATCCTCCACCTCACTCCCGGCTCTTTGTCCAACATCAGAAACTGTAAACCCTTTTGCAAACCTACTATTTATATTGTAGATAATAACTAAATTCACCATTTCTGTATATTGTGACCAAACTGTAAACATCTTAATAACAACTATTTGGTTTAAGGTTGTATGTTATTTGTATTGGGAACTATTAACATT